CTATTACCACCGTTCCCATATTAGAGGCTACTGGTGATTGTTTACTTTAGTTGGGGCTGAATAACCAGATCCGACCGAATTGCCTCCCACGCGTCTTCTGATAAGACACAGCCTTGTGTGTCTCCATTCTGTTTGCCATAGACACGCACTGACAGGATTCTGATGGCTACTTCGGACAGCCGTCTCTCTCTCTGACTGCCCATATTACCTTCCCGATGCTGTAGGCAGCAACACAATTTGACTGGGTTGCAACGACAATGTCCCTGATTCAGTGCAATCCCACAACTGGTTTTCCCCTAAAACCCTCCCCTGTGTTCGCCCCGCATCTAATATGCCTCACCTCACCCCGCCCCAGCCCGTCTCGCTTCCCGGTCATGCTGGCCGCCCTCCCTTACGTTTCACAGGATAGATTCCGGGGTCTTCCCGGGTTTCTTCCCGACGATGAATGGGCCTTTATAAACTGAACGGCTGTCATCCATATACTGCGATCGCTCGCTCGCACGCCGCTGTTTTCTGGGCCTTGTCGGGGAGATTTTTGGCCCCTCGGTGGGTGATGGGATTTGCCTTGTCAGTGCAGGCGGCCAAGCATTAACCGCCCAACGAAAACGCGCACGCATCTGGCATTAGTTTTATCTATTCACAGGGTTGCCTCTTATCAAGGGACTTCATTTTAACAGCCCGTTTTATTTGGTTGTTTAATCTAGAATTAGCTTTTCTCCCTCTATGGTTTCCACAATCATCGTCCTCACTGTTTTGCTAACTGATCAGTGTTTTAATTAGGGTACGATGTTGTTCGGATGTTTCTTGTCGCTTTTGAGCTACGATTGGGAGCGTTGCGACGGTCAGTACCTAATGGAAAAATACCCCCGACAAAGATGAAGTAGACTGAAGTGGACGTTTTTGGCTATCACTCATAAAGACAATAAAGTAGCACGTCCTGGTAGAGCGGCCGGCCAGATCAAGCATGATCGCAGCCGTATCAAGTACAAGTCTTTCCCCCTTGCCCGAACATAACTAGACGTCGTCAACCGTCCACCCCTATATAGCTGTTGTTCATTCATCACGCTACTGCGCCTGCCCGATGAGGAGTAATCGAAAAAGTGCGTTTATCGACCGACATCTCGGACACAGTCACAGAACTTATCGATTATTTGTCGTTTGTCCACCATACCCACTCATCTGGTCGAGAGTCCCGATGAGTACCTAAACCTGGGTTCCCACGCGTCCTCCGGACATAATGCGGGCTCGAGAAAGACCTCACGGGTAAATGCAGTCTAATTTATATCGTGTGCATTCGGGGGTTGATGCTTGCCAGAATAGCGTGACTGTCGCGCGTCCTACTGGCACCCCGAATGTGATTGCAATGTCCGTCTTTCCGACCGTTGGTTGCTGGGCTCGTTATTCCCATTTTATGCCACTTTTTTCCACGTAGTCCTTTTGAAATAACTGTCAAAATTACAAAAAAATTGTGTGCTCACCTGTCGCGACAAAATGGGCCAATCGGTGTGCCACTGCAGGAGAGGACAGAAGAAGAATCCGGTGCAATTCGATTTTGTTTCAGCTAAAAATACCACTACTTAAAGCGTGGTTTTTCTCTCTCTCTCTGGCTCTTAGTAGTGGACGAAAGCAAGTGGTTTCCGGCCTTAATGCTGCATGAACGTGGGGTTGGAGGTGTCAGCAATTTGTTCCTAAGGACACTGGAGTTTACGCCAAAGCCGCGTCGGTGTTGGCAGGTCTGCACGTAGGGCTGGGAGGTGTAGACCGTAAGGTGAATTCCCGTCAGGGGAGCTTTTTCGGAAAGCTGATTTTTCCATCCAAGCTTCTCAGCCTCTTTTCAACAAGTACTTGGCTTGTCCCCTCTTTTTCGAAGACAATGACGTTTTTTTTCATTAAATGATTCTCATAACTCTTGCTTTTTTTTTAGCATCATGGGTGGTTGGAAGATGGAGGTGATCAAAGTGGGCGTGTATCTGGCTATTCCGCTAGGCGTCCTCACCATGTCCAACATGCCGCGCTACTTGGAACGTAATCATGACGCCCAACGATTGAGTGTCTACGAACAGACTGGGGTCAGTAAAAAAATTGAATTCATATCCTTTTATGACAGTTTGCGGTGTTGCCTAGCTTGAACGTTTTTTGCTTGTATGCAATCGTCACAGACTGGAGTGTTGCAAACAGTGCTCCGATTAACTGACGTTGATATCCACAGTCTAACCGCCGCGATCGACGATGTCCGCAGTGTGACTCGCAACCTAGCTGGAGCTGCGGGCGGTGACTGGCGCGTGAATAAGTTTACGGTGATAGTAAGCTTGCAAAGCATCTACCGCACTCTCTCCTCCCCCGCCTGGGCCCGGTGTCAAGACACAGAGTCAAGAAGACCGGTGGCGGGGAAGGGCGAAGGTGGATGGCACGGTCGAGCCCGCATCTTGGAGGTCCACTGCGCACCTCCTGGTCCACACAGCAAATGACCAGGATTTTAGCCAACAACAGAAGGGACTGGCGCGGCCGAAGTCGCACACCTGGACGTGCCTTCACACCTGGTTCGGATCCCGCGGAGTGGGAGTTCCTCTCCCTAACACCGATGCACTGTCTTGACCCGTCAGCCATATGTTGCGGCGATCGGACGCAGGTGGCAGGCACGACCTGAGCCTTCGCCTGGGCTTGTCAGCGCACCCCACTCCCGTGCGCGACAGTTGTTTTTAGGGTGTGGCCTAAATAACGCTTGACATACCCCGATATGGTCCCCGTGTTGGTCCAGCGCATCTCCCGCGTGACTCTCGTTGTTACCAGCAGACGTAGGCGAGTTAGGTGGTGTGGGTCTATTCGGCCACATGCGCATCCACGACGACCTGCGGTAGACAACCGCCGGTCACACCACACATTCCCTCACTCCCTACCTCCTAACATCATCACCCCACTAGACGTCAACCCTCACACACCTCATGCACTCAACTGCCGCCTCCCACGCAAGTGGGAAGTGTGCATCTCGACTCGGTCCCCATGCGGCCTCGGCTGCACGAGTGACTTGAGTCCGAGACTATCCCGACACGTCAAGTGTCGTGGATAGGAAGGTTGCTGATTGACGCCCGTTATCGGTTCACGCAGTTCGTCACGTTGTGTGTGTGTTGTGTAGTGGCGGACTGGTGGGCTGGGGACGGGCTGAAGCAGCACCTTCCACGGCCCTCTCACGCATGTGAGAGACACGCCGTTCAACCCCCGTTGTGTGAAATCCTGGTGTTTGTGTGTATGGGGGGCCAGGTCGTGCTGTGGCGCGCGCAGGCATGGTCAGTCGACCATGTCAGCCACCGCGCCCATTCTCCACTCCAGTCTACTGACCGGCTCGGACAGTGGCTGGGGTGTGGGAATGGGAAGGGAGAGTGAGGTCGACGACTCAGCGCATTTTCCTCACTATAATCAATCTGACGCGCTTGAAGCTATCACGGTGCGCTAAAAGCCGTGGCTTGGAAGGTTGCCAACTGACGGGGTACCTTGGACCTCCTCCTTAACGGGAGGCGGTCTGAGAGTCAGGCTGCAATGGCTCCTTTTTAATGTGGCCTTTATGGCATTCCCACCACAGTGTGGGATCCGAGCCAGGCGTTGGCGGCACGGCCAGGTGCGGCTTCGGCCGTGCCAGCCTCCAAATCTATGTTGTGTTGGTTGAAATCCTGGTTATTGTTGTGTGGACCAGGGGGTGTGGTGGAACGCCAAGGTGAGGATCCGTCCGAGCCATCCACCTGCGGCCTCCCTCGTCTCCGGTCTTCTTGACTCTGTCTTGACACCGGGCCCAGGCGGGGGAGGAGGAGAGAGTGTAGGTAGATGCTACGCAAGTCTACTGGCACTATAAACCCCTGCGTAAGTCACCGTCCCTGCTCCCACAATGCAGTCTGTGGGGCACACGGTGGACATCGTCGAAATCGACGGTCGAACTGTCAAGCCTCGAAAACCCTCCTTGGTCATCGACCATTAAATATTCATACTCCCTACGATCGGCCACGGGCCCGTTTTCCTGCCGGTTGTGTTTGATCAGGTCACATGCTGTGTCTGTCCCGTTGTGCCTCAGGGCTTACTCAAGTTAATATTCTCAACCACAAGCGACAGTTCATCGGATCCGCTGTCCAATGACCAACGGGTCCCAGGTCATCCATACCTGGGACTGGGCATGGCTGGTTGACGATGGCCAACAAGTCAGAAATGGCCATCCTGGTCTGCCTTGTATTTGTCAGTATTTCAACTGCGCCAAATTACATTACCAACTGTCAGACAAGCTCGGGCAGTCCATTGGCGGGTGGGAGAGAGAGAAAGAGTAAGGTCGACACGGGGGGGGGGGAATCGATCTCTACGACACACCGGCTTATTTCTCACCATAATTAATCGTGTCTTGGAAGATTACCAACTGACGGGATAACACGGTCCTCACGGTGGGTACTGTATGTAATTCGTGTCGCGTTCTGGACCCAGATTACTGTTCCCTTTCCTGTACTTAATAAGATCATTGCCGTCATTTTGTACTCATTCTATCCTACGTGTCCTGTATTGGTCTGTATAAACATTATAAAACTCGCGAACTTTTGAAATTAACCTGCTGCTTCACTGGCATTCGGGGTTTCTAAACTGCTAGCTGTATATTTTCTGTGTAAGGACAATCATATATTTCTAAAGTTCATTTAGAATTTTGAAATAGATGTCGATTACGTCGCACACTTTAAAGGTGACATTAATGAATAGACATTTATGGCTCTATATAAATAGACATTTCATGTTTTAAAAAAATTAATTATTAGGACCCTTTTTAAAGTCAAAAATAGCCGGTTCTCAGGCCCAACTTTGATTAAGACGTAATTTTTGACCAAGTGGGCTTAAAAAGAATATTTTTGCATGGTTTCTGTAAGATATACAGTGTGTGACCGATGTCATGAAATGTTGACCGAAATTCTGGAATGCGTTTTGGGTTATCAAGGATTACTTAGGTGGGGTTGTAAGATTGATTCGCATGTAGCGTAATCCTCCGTATTTTGCACCCACCAGGATGTCGACTTTTGGATGCACTCCTTTTTTGACCTCCTGCAGAAACCACACTGGGTAAAAAATGATCACTTATGTAACATGCATTTTTCCTATTGATTTTCGATGATCTTATAAATTCAAATCTACTTCATGAAAACATGCACAGAAAGATGCTTTCTTTTACTTATTTGTTAGAAAATCACATTGTCTTCTAATGCGCATCCGAAGAAAGTGTATATTTAGGTTTCAAAAGAGGTTCCTAATTCCCGAATAATTTTGAGCCTGATCTGCCATTGCGTTAGCGTTTAGCGACTCTAGTCTACAAGGTGCATGCTTTCTGCGTAAGGAAAATAACATATTCCTCTATGACTTCAAGAAAGTGCCATATAGAGTTCAGAGGTCCTTGCAATGGATGCGGACTACTTTGTACATTTCCTGAGGAGCATTGGTAAACGGACATGTGCGGTCCTGTATGCATAGACATCACATGGTCTTAAAAATCTCATAATTAGGAACCTCTTATGAAACCTAAATATGCACTTTCTTTGGATGCGAAATTTGAAGACAACATGATTTTCTACCAAATAAGTAAAAGAAGGCATATTTTTTGCATGTTTTCCATGAAATATATTTGAATTTATAAGACCATCGAAAATCTATAGGGAAAATGCCTGCTACATAAGTGATCATTTTTTACTGAGTGTGGTTTCTGTAGGTCGAAAAGGAGTGCATCCAAAATTCGACATCCTGGTAAGTCCAAGATGCTATAGGATTACGTTGTATGCTAATCAATCTTACAACCCCACCTAAGTAATCCTTCCTAATCGAGCACGCATTCCAGAATTTCGACCAACATTTCATGAGATCGGTCACGCACTGTAGGTGGAGTCTGAGTAGCCACCTTTTTATGAAAACCTGGTACATCCACTGAAGCCTTTTAGGGTGTGGACAACTTTCAAAACGACGACCTCTGGATGGTTTTGATAGCTTCAAACACCTCCGACTTATTATTAGTGCTAAAGCGAACGCTTGATTGGCGTGAGGAAAATAAATCCTGGCTCGGTCTCACTCCTCTAATGTACCAGCAGACAGTTCAGGTTAGGAAAAGGGATAGGGAGCAATGACCGACATGGCGTTTACGCATGCCACAGGCTGTCGCGTCACCCATTGAAGGCCTAAACAACAGCCCGACTTGTTTTTGGGAACGCTATAATGCACGATGTCCCTTTTCCAGCTTTTCAGCATTCTGATCGCGACGTAACCGACTTTACCTATCTGCGCAGTTTATCCGCATGCGTTGTGTGACGAGTGTTGTAGCCAACTTTCTGACCGTCCTCTAGTCTTTCACTTAGCGTTATAGGTAGGTTTTTCTCTAACCTGCCGGAATGCTGGGTTTTTTCCGCACACTATATGATAAATCGTCAGCCTCAGCACGCTAGCTGTTTCCTGTTTTCGATCTTATTAAAAAAAATTTATAGACCTTATCGCGGCGAGCCTTGCGTTTTGAGATTCTGTCTCGGAATACGTTCACTGTTGCTTCGTGATCGTGATCAGCGCCTTTTGTTGCATAGTTCACCTTTTTGTTCAACTGATTTATACGGCCGTTGGTTTGTTTTGTAAGCTTCTCTGTCTGTATCAGTGACCTGCTGGGGGAATTGCTACCTCTCTTTATGAACCAAATTTCTCATGGCCGAAAAGGGTCTGAGACGGTGCTGTTAATTCGTATTGACCCAACTGTGAAAAACTCGGCGCCTCGGTGGGATTCGAACCCACGCAGTAAGGGGAAGGCTTTAGTACAGCCAACGCTCTAGCCACCTGAGGTACGAGGCCCAACCGGAAGACGTTAGTTTCAGCACAGGTCGGTCAAGTTACCCGCCCAACCTACTGCAACGTCTGGAATCCATCGAATCTGATACAGTAAGTTGACTGCCCAGGCAGGATTTCCTAAATAATTCACCTAGAATCCACCGGATGACTACCAGGCTTACGTAATTCATAGATGTTTTGGCGGATTTTGAATTATTCATATTGGCCCAACTGTGATTACACTTGCGTCGTCCGGCGAGGCCTCGTAGCTCAAGTGGTTAGAGCGTTGGCTGTACTAAAGCCTTCCCTTTACTGCGTGGGCTCGAATCCCACCGAGGCGCCGAGTTTTTCACAGTTGGATCAATATGTATTATTCAAAATCTGCCAAAACATCTATGAACGGTGCTGTTATTCCTTGGTTGGATTATGTCAAGTACCTGTTGGATATCTGTATTTATTTTTAACTGTGTTGCCCATCTAGGTCGACATGTCTCCAGGCGACCCTGTATCTATTGACGAACTTCGTGCGAGGGCTGATGCACAGCCCAAGATTCTCAACCTCCACCGTATCCGCCGACCGTCTGCAGTGGCCAACAAGGACGTCACCGAAAGCCAGTCCCGTTAATTGGCCATCTGGTCGTCGTTTCTACCCGAGCGGCGCCGTCATCTTTGTTTTGCTGTGAACCTAGCGTTGTACTGACAGCCACCATTTAGCCCCCTCTCCAAGCAGTCTCCGGAACACTTGGTTTCCTTTCCCGATGATTACTTGGGAATTCTTTTCCACTATAAGAACAGTTGAGGGTGGTTTGGTGTCATTTGGTCCCTAAAGATATCATGTGCCGAATTGCACGATTTTCTGTCGTCCTCTTTTTCTATTTTTTTCATCAACAATGCTACCATAAAACAGCCACTAAAAGGTAAATGTCAGTTTTCGGCCCTGTCTGAACGCGACTCAGATAAAACACTTTGCGTCAGAAGTCTATGCACCACCTGCTTGCATTTTGGAACTTACGGGTATCAGATGATGGATCCTCGCTAGCCTTAGTGCTGTTAGCACATTTTGTCGTTGTCAAGAGCCACGTTTTGTAGCCTCCTTCCAACCAAATTACTGCCTATATTTCTTGTGACATAGTTATTGCCAATTGGGCAAAGTTGGGTAACAGTCGGGAGATGGCACCCAAAAAAATCCGTCTAACCAAAGCAGCCTGTCTTACGGGACTGGTAGTAATCGGGGTTTTATGGGTGATGGCTGGTCGGGATGTACGATACCATCCGACAGAAAGCCTTATTTGAACAGGTGAATGATCGAAGTTGGCCCACTCTCTGTTCCGTTATTAAAAAATGGGTCGCTAAGGGCAGTATAGTGTTAACGGACGAGTGGAAGGCGTATAATCGTCTTCCCTCAGAAGGTTATGTACATTTCTCTGTTAACCACTCAAAGAACTTCAAGGACCATACCACCGGACGTCACACCAATGCCATTGAGGCATACTGGAGCAGGCAGAAAAGGAAACTCCACGATGTAGGCCCTTTATGTGGTCGAGCTGGGTGGGCTCACATAGACGAAGTACAGTATCGTCTTTGGTTTGGCCTCAATGCCATGTCTTTGACAGATGCCCGGGAACTGTTCCTGTCCCATGTTATGCAGACTTATCCTATTTAAAAGTGATTTTGTTTTGTAATAAACTGCCATAATGCGAATGCATGCCGTATATTCTAGGTAACGGATTTTTTTGGGTGTCATCTCCCGATTGTTACCCAAAGTTGTTTGCCAGTCGATTCTAACCAGTGAGCTAGTTCGATTTGCCGTGCCTGTTTTTGGGGTGTTAAGTTACACCGCTCTGAAAATCGTAGCAAGTGTTGATTTTCAGTAGCGTTTGCTGAAGTAGTCTAAGAAATGCCTCAGCATTGCTATGCTACCTTTCACTTTCTGCAGCGACTGCTTTCGGCTGGTCACTCGAAAACTTTCAGCATGCGTTATGGTGGCGTCCTTTAAAGTAATTTGTGGCAACTATGAAATTCGAATCGTTATTCGACTATTAAATCCCCTCAGGATGGGAAAATGATTGGTCCTAGGTGGGCGTGCTCTGTGATTGGTTAATCCAGTTACGTAATTCGACAGTCGGCCACTTCCGACTTGGGTGCCAATTGACAGGTCGAAGGATCTGATAGGAGTTCGACTGAAGTTAGTGTATGTAGTTCGGTATACGAGGTCGAGCATCTTTTTCGTGGTTGACTAATCAAAGTAATCAAAACAACGGCTAGATCGCAGTTGGTAGCCAGGCCCTGTATTACAGGTGGCTGGAGGGTTTGTTTACTGGGACTATTTTGTGGGGTCCCGAATCACATCTGACCCATTTGGCTTCCATTTTAATTTTGAGGTTAGGATTAGGTCGCCGGTTAATGGTTTTCGATTTTCCGGTTAGGGTTATGCATTTAGGCTTAGGTTTTCGGGTTACGGTTAGGGCTTGGGCGTACGATTAGGTTTCAGTATTACGGTTAGGTTTTCCAGTTACGGTTATGTCTAAGGGCTATGGTTACGTTTACGATTTCGGCCGGGGTTAGGGTTGCCGTTAGGGTTAGCGGTTAACGTTTAATGTTGAGGTCAGGGTTAGGTTTAAGGCCAGGATTAGGGTTAAGGTCGCCATCCGCTTCCTTATTCCCGGCTACCAACTCCGATCTAACCAAAACAACAATAGATGTTTATTGTTGTGGGGGTTCCGTTCATGTACCTGGAAGAAAACGAGCATAAGCGACAGAAACGGTTTTCTGCAGCACACAGGTTCCAGACAGCCAAATACCAAAAGCTGTGAGGAAGAATTGTGTTTTCTTTGGGCAACGTAACTTGTCTTTCTGAAGCTCCATACGCGGTTTCCTATAGCTGCCATTTTTCGAATAGTGTTCAGGACAAATTTCACATGTATGGCTTCAATCAGCCGACTCCAGCAGCAACTCCCCCACCTGCGTTCGTCGCACTCCCACAGAGAGCTATAAATGTTTTGGTTAACCGCCTCGG